GATTCGATATTCTCGTTGATGGCTACAATAGTCAAGATAGGAATTCAGTTCGTTATTATCTTCTATTCCGAGCCCGTGACACTAAGTACATGAATGAGTGTCCTTATATATCCTCCACGATATCAGTATGACATCCCTGAAGTATACTTGTATACCCTATACAGGACTGACAGTATAACCTCCGACTTGTATACTTATATACTTCCCACAGGTCACGTGAGGTATGTCGTACTTCCTTAATGCTCAGGTCATAATCCCTGCTTAACTCTCTGATCATCCTGCTGAGCATATCCAATGATTCTGCCTTGGCTCCCCGCACAGTCACGTGAGGCTGACAGGATAAGGTCTATAACATTGACTCGACAAAATTATTATTGATATCGAATGAAGGCCCCTGGGAGTCCTGAAAATTAAGAGAGTCCATTATTGCAACTGCTTGGTAACTGATCCTCAACTGCTTGGATATTCTTTGAATAGTTAAAGAATTAAGAATGGAAATTGAATTTCATGTCTAAAGTTCAGTATTCAATTACCTTGTGCGGGGATAAATCAGCTTAATAAGAGCCTTGGCGTTCACGTGCGGGGGGTCTAGGCCGCATGAGCTCACCGCTTGGCTCATGCGACCTGTGTACACACAGGTCCTCGTTTTACAACTGAAAACCTTAATACTCAACTCAACTCAATGGACAGGACGAACACTCTCACTGCTTCTCACTGACTGCAGTCCCCATGTTGTTGTTAACCTTTACATCGACCATGATCTGGTTGTGACTCCAGCGCTCCAGGACTTCATCGAACTTGATGCGGCCCTGCTCGAAGGCCACCATAATTGTCGATCCACCGAACTTGAAGAGTCCAAGCTCTTGTCCTTTCTTGATGTGTTCTCCCGCAGTCATCGTCTCATCATGGAACCTGTAGCTGTTAGAATATCGAAAGTGCGCTGTGAATGGCATTGCACCTACTCAACCGTTCCGACATCTGATGCTCCCACAGCGACAAACAATACCTCTCCAAACTCCTTAGTCTCAAGACAAGCGACACAGCGGGCATTTTCGGTCAAAATGTTCACAGAGCTCCGAATGGCTATAGGATCAACCTCGAAATAGTCGCCAGGAATCTGCTTAAACCACTTTACTTTTCCATCCACAGGAGAATGGTACCTGTGGTAGTCCTGGGGACTCAATCGGAAACAAGCCACTGCTCCATTATCCCAAGGTTTCGAACGATCAAAGTCACGGATCAGATTGGCGATAGTGAATTGGTTTCCTTTCACCCAGAGCTTGCGCGTCTTCTCAACGGTGGGATATACGACTATCCGGCAGTCGGCCACGACAACAGCTTTCTTCTTATCATTCGGAGCACAAAGGGGCCTGGCCTCGGGTTTGTGGTGTCTAATGAAGAAGTCCTGGAATGTCCCGTACTATTCCGGATCGGAGGGCTGTGTCGATGAGCTGGTGTAGGTATCCTAGTAAGAAGTACATGGTTGCTGCATTGGTTTTTTAAATCAAAACCACCAGGTCTAAGAACAAATTTGCCCTTATCAAGCTCAGAAATAACCGTGATGTCATGACGATGCAAATCCATCTTCAAGTCTGGGAATCCGCCTCAACAAGAGCTTATGTTTAATGGTTAGAAAGAAGATAGAGCTCGCCAAATTGTCAGTCCAGCTGGAGCGTGTCCTATCAAAGAGCAATTACTCCCCAAGCCTCAATATATCACGATATAAGATCAATCCTCGACATTGCTGAATATTTGTAGAAAAGAATGTCATGGTTGCATAGATGCACCAGCCACTTATATACGAGTCACAGATCCCAAGCCACATCGATCTTGTCCCAAAACAGACTAGCGTGTCATTATTTCTACCGAACATCTCCCGGCGTTTGCGGAGTAAACACTACATACTACTCGGTCAATGAACACTCCGATTAGCCTAACGCTTATATCTGCCTACCAAAGCATCATGCCATTGAAGACAAGACTGGAGGTTTAGCCTGAATCCAGGATGCATCGCTTCATTCCGACACAGTCACCTCCCGTATGACGACCGGAGTCAACCCATCCGGAGTACACGGACGCTCCGCATCTCACGACGAGAAAGAAAGCTACCCTGCGGATTGACGTCAAACTCTATGGCAGACACATTCAGGCTAAAATGTGTGCATCCAGAAAGACCGCACAATTCCCCGCGTTTTGGAGGACCGAGATCGACTGCGGGACTTGCTGGATCCGGATGAACATCTGGGGTTTCGGAAGTTCCCTTTGTATACAGGCCTGAAAGGGTGCTGATGGCCTTGGATAATCGGCTTTTATCCGAATAGTTGTGACATTCTTCGTCATAATATAAATACGGACATTCTGGACTGAGAAATGGCATCAACCACAAGGCCTTATTTACCATGCCGGCTACCAAGTCCGTTCTCGCCGTGCTGGCGGCGTTGCTGTCGACCACAGTAGCCCAGACAAAGACTAGCGATACGGACTACAATGTCAACCCAGAACCACCCCTTGATCCGCTTGCTACGGCCACTATTGAGCTATCCCTCCCCGACTGCGAGAATGGACCGCTGAGCGAAGCTTTGGTATGCAACACTTCAGCCAACTCTTATGACCGAGCTGCCTCTCTCGTTTCCCTCTTCACGTTTGACGAGCTCGTCAATAACTCCGGCAATACGGGCGGTGGTGCTCCAAGACTTGGTTTGCCCAAATACCAAGTCTGGTATGAGTCGCTCCATGGCTTGGCTCACACCAACTTCACCTCGGAAGGGGATTGGAGCTGGGGAACGTCGTTTCCAATGCCGATCTTGACCATGTCTGCGTTGAACCGGACCTTGATCAACCAAATCGGATCCATCATCTCAACTCAGGCTCGTGCGTTCAACAATATCGGACGGTTCAGCTTGAATACATACTCCCCGAACATCAACACCTTCCGACACCCGGTGTGGGGCCGTGGTCAAGAAACACCCGGGGAGGATGCGTACATCTTGGCGTCTACCTACGCGTACGAATATATCACCGGCATTCAAGGCGGCTTGGATCCTGAACACGTTAAGGTGATCGCAAATGCTAAGCACTACGGCGGCTACGACATCGAGAACTGGGATGACCATTCGCGTCTTGGAAACGACATGATCATCACTCAACAGGACCTTTCAGAGTACTATATGCCCCAGTTCCTTGTTGCCTCGAGAGATGCCAAGGTCAAGAGTTTTATGTGCTCGTATAATGCGGTAAACGGGGTTCCCAGTTGCTCCAACTCGTTCTTCCTTCAAACTCTTTTGCGCGACACGTTCAACTTCGTCGAACACGGTTTCGTATCGGGTGATTGCGGAGCGGTGGGAAATGTTTTTGATCCTCATGAGTATGCTGCAAACTATACGAGCGCTGCAGCTGACTCCATTCGGGCCGGAACTGACATCGACTGCGGCACAACGTACCAATACTACTTTAACGGATCATTTGACGAGGGATTGGTATCCCGTGAAGACATTGAGAGGGGCGTAAGACGTCTATACACCAACCTTATACAAGCCGGCTACTTTGACGGCAACGAGAGCGAGTACCGCGACCTGGACTGGAACGATGTTGTGACAACCGACACTTGGAACATTGCCTACGAGGCCGCTGTGGAGGGTACCGTTCTGTTAAAGAACGACGGAACCCTTCCTCTCTCCAACTCGACCCGTAGTGTGGCGCTGATCGGAGGATGGGCCAATGCAACCTGGCAGATGCTAGGGAACTATTATGGAAAGGCTCCATACCTCACCAGTCTGCTGGGAGCTTTCCAGGATTCGAGCCTCACGGTCAACTATGTGCTTGGCACCAACATCACTACCGAGACCAAAGACGGATTCCAGGATGCTCTCGACGCAGCTAAGAAGTCCGACACCATCATCTTCGCAGGAGGAATCGACAACACCCTCGAAGCAGAAGCCATGGACCGAATGAACATCACCTGGCCCGGCAACCAGCTAGACCTCATCAACGAACTAAGCCAATTAGGCAAACCCCTCATCGTCCTCCAAATGGGCGGCGGCCAAGTCGACTCCTCATCTCTCAAATCGAACAAAAACGTCAACTCTCTGATCTGGGGCGGCTACCCCGGCCAATCCGGCGGCCCAGCATTACGCGACATCATCACCGGCAAACGCGCCCCAGCAGGCCGTCTCGTCGTCACCCAATACCCGGCAGAATATGCAACAAGCTTCCCAGCAATCGACATGAACCTGCGGCCCAACGGCAGCAACCCAGGCCAAACATACATGTGGTACACAGGCACACCAGTCTACGAATTCGGCCACGGTCTTTTCTACACTAACTTCAGCGCCTCTTCATCAAACAGAGCGGCAACGACAAATAACTACAACATCGACGACCTCCTATCCCAGCCGCACCCGGGCTACGAACGCGTCGAGCAAACGCCCTTCCTCAACTTCACAGCTAGAATCGCCAACACGGGGCGCACGGCATCAGACTACACAGCCATGCTCTTTGCCAATACCACCGCCGGGCCGGAGCCGTATCCGAATAAATGGCTTGTCGGGTTTGATAGACTGCCTAGTCTGACGCCGCGGTCGTCTAAGACATTGACTATACCCGTGACTATTGATAGTGTTGCCCGTACGGATGAGCTTGGGAATCGGATGCTGTATCCTGGGAAATATGAGATGGCGTTGAATAATGAGCGGGATGTTGTTGTTAAATTTACGTTGACAGGTGAGGAGAGGACGATTGCGAAGTGGCCGAAGGATCAGCAGCAGATTTCTCCTGCGTAGGGAGAGGTGTGATGTACATAGTTGATTGCTGATAGCGGATGCGGTAAATGTGATTTGATTTCAATCTATTATTCAACACTCGCGCCAGACTGTACATATGCAGATACAAATGCGATGCTTGTATATATGAATCAAACTGTACCTTCTTTTTTCCTTCATGACTGTCCCTGCACCAACTGTACCAACTCATCATACTCCCCCGTATTCCGCAACATATCCCAAAACACACCTCTCTTCTCAATCAACTTTGCCGGCGAATCATTCCTACAACCGTTAGCAACCCAACCTAAACCACAAAAAAAGAAAAAGAAAAAGAAAAACTCACTCAACAATCCCCCCACCCCCCATAACAACCACCCGATCATAATCCACAATCGTGCGCAACCGATGCGCAATTGCAATAATCGTCGAATCCCCAAACATCCCTCTCAGCACCTTCTGCATATGCATATCGGTCTCCTGGTCCACAGACGCAGTCGCCTCGTCGAGAAGGACGATTTTGGAGCGGCGGCAGAGTGCGCGGGCGAGAGATAGGACTTGGCGCTGGCCTTGGGAGAAGTTTTCGCCGTTTGTTGCGACGGGGGTTTCTAAGCTGAGGTTTTGCCGTTGCTGGTGGTGGTGGGGGGCTTCTGTGCCATTTGTGGGGGACGGGGACTGGATGAATGTGCATGCTGAGAGCGCTGCGCGGAGTTCTGTATCGCTGGACTCGTTAAAAGGGTCGACGTTTGAGCGGACGTCGCCGGAGAAGAGGACTGGTTCTTGGGGTATGAGGGTGACGCTTTTGCGGAGGCGGTTTAGGAGGATGTTATTGATGTTTATACCGTCAATCGTGATGCGTCCTTCTATAACGTTGACGAAACGGAGGAGTGAGAGCCCTAGTGTGCTTTTGCCGCTTCCTGTTCGTCCGACGATACCGATTCGTTCTCCTGGTCGTGCGATGAAGGAGATATTGCGCAGGACGTCGGGGCCGTTTTGGTAGCGGGCTGTGACATTTTGGAATTCGATGAGGCCGGATGTTGGCCAGCTGGCTGGGATGGCTTCTGCTTTCTTCCGTTGTTCTTCTTCGTCTAACCGTTCTTCAGGCTCGATATCTGCATATTCACGCATACGCTGGTACGAATTCAGCTCGATCTCCAACTCATTCATCGTCCGCACAAGCGTAAGAATAGTCTGACTCAGACCAATGGCATTCGTCAACGAAAAGCCCACCAACCCAGCAGACCCAGACCTAAAATACGCCACGCATCCAGCAGACGCAGCAACAGACGCAGCACAAAAGTCCGATCTAACAGATACCCAGCGGTTGCAATTATACTGCGCCTCCGCGGAGCGGGTATGCACGGCTAGCTTTTCAGCAAGGAGGCCCTGGAAGACTTCGTCCATACCGGCGCGGGCTCGGATAACCGTCATGCCGCTTAGTGAGTCTGTGAAGTGGGAGAAGACGGGGGAGTAGTTGATGGAGCAGAGTCGTTTGATTGAGATCTGTGCGCGGGTGTACATCTCTCCGATAATAAATCCAGTTGCGCAGATGATTGTGACTGGGAGGGCGAAGATGGGCATTATGGATACGATACCTGCGATTCGGAGGAGGAATCGGAGCCAGTTTTCGATTGACATGCGGAGCCAATCTATCAGGACTGTGTCCAGAGAGCGTGTATCATTTCCAAACCGGTTGATTGCTCTTCCGATGGGGTTTTCGTCAAACCAGGAGATAGGCGCTGATAGGACTGCGGTGGCCAGCTTCGCATGCATTTTCTTGGCTGCTGCCCAGCCTCCGTATTGGTAGATGAGGTTGTTGGCGAGTTGCAGGAGAAGGAAGAGGATTATTGTCGCTGCGTAGACGGATAGGTAGAATATTGAGTTTGGATGCTCGTACTTGTCGTAGGCGCTTGTCCAGATGGAGAGCCAGTAGGTGATGGCGAAGTATGCGAATTGTACTGTGAGAGTGGCCACAATTGCTGTCACGGCGTAGAAGAATCCTCCAAACATGACCATATATTGGAAGAAGAGCGTACGAGGCACCCGACCAGTGGCTGTTGTCTCTTTAGCCATGCCTGTTGTGCCAACTTCTTGTTCTGGAACAGGGTCACTGGATATTACATGCTCTGTCAGAGGCTCCATCTCTTGGGGAGTCCCATATGGAGCACTAGAAAGAATAGCTCCGGTCTCGATTTCTCCCACACTTGGCGTGGCAACTTGAGAAGTTCGCTGGGATGATTGTACAGAAGCAACCTTCCCATGTTCCAAGCGAATCACCATTTCTGCATCCTTCAATGCAACAGGCAAGCTCGTAACAAGAACAACAGTCCTGTCTGCAAGTAAGCCACTGCGGAAGCATCGCTTATAGACAAGACTCGTGGTATGCGTATCAAGGGCAGAGAATATATCATCCAGCAAAAGTGTCGACGATCGTGAGTACAAAGCTCTGGCCAATGATACCCGCTGCTTCTGTCCTCCAGAAAGCGATGTTCCTCTCTCGCCCACAACAGTGGAATCGCCAAGTGAAAGCTGCTGCAAATCCTGTGCTAGGCCGCTTGCCTCGACGGCAATGTTGTAGCGACTCTCGTCGTAGGAGCTGTAAAACAGGATGTTTTGCCGAACAGTGTCGTTCTGTAACCATGGTGCTTGGGGAACGTATGCTATATCCCGGGGTGCGGTTGCCCTTCCAGATTCCAGAACAGTCTCGCCTAATAGGGACTGCAATAGGGAAGTCTTTCCACAACCAGTCGGACCAGTAAGAACATTAAGGGCATTCTGCTTGAAGCGAAGGGTGATATCCCGCAGTCTGAATGCAGCAATTGGAGTCCGGCGAAAAGTAGCATCCTTCAGTTCCAACGGTCCCTCGGGATGTCTCTGTATCTCTTCAGCAGACTCGAAGAATCTGTCCACACGTCGGAGGGATTCAGCGCCCTGCGCAGAAAATCGACTGATATTCGAAAGCCAGACAAACTGGGATCGCAGTGTCTCCATGATCGACAGCGAGGTGAATGCAATTGGAGCGCGAAGAGTATTGTCTGTGAAAAGAACAAAGACAGAAAACATCACCAGTAAGCTGATGAAAGGCAACAGGTCCCCGGCCATGGAGATTCCAGCGGCGTGGACACTGCGTCTCCAGAGACGTTGCTGTTCAATGCCCCGAATGTCGTTGATCGTGTTTATCGCGGCAGGCTCCCACCCAAAGTACTTCAATGTCCGAATTGAGTTCAAGAATTCGGATATCTTCGAAAGACGAACATCAGTCGCACGCAGCACAGATTGTTGAATGCGCGATATCTTGCGCGAAGCCAAGGCAGGGAGAGGAGTAAGTAGGAATAGAACGACGACACCCAGAAGCGAAGGCCAGCCAAGCATCTGGTATAGAAAAACCATGGCAATCGTGGTCGATACTGGACATGCTGTTGCGACGTAGAAGATATCCCGTGAATTGTAAATCGCGTCGACATCGTAAGACATCAGACTCGTTAAATTGGCCTGGCCAGACTTTGGCGCCGTTGACTCTTTTGTTCGTCGTGATTGTTCCTTGTGACCTGGGTCTCTGACAGAGTCGTCATAAATGTGTGATCTCATGGCTGTCTGATAGATCTCCTGGACTAAAGACATGTTGACGCGGACAAGAAGTCGAGTGGCGGTAAAGATGTACTGCTGATAGCAAAGTGAACGAACAATTGGCCCAATGAAGAGCAAAACAATCCAAAGAGCCGGATGAACAACAGCCTCCGACGGATCCTCCAGATATGCTAGCAATCGCAACATCGAATACGGAGCGAGAAACTCTACCACTGCCGTAGATGCAGCCCAGCCCATCATGGTTCTGACTTCTTTTTTGAGCAACCTGTACAGCGTGAGAAACGTTTTTCCACCTTTGAGTCGCTGCTTTTTGATATTGTTAAGCCATTTAAGTGGCTCGTCGTATGTTGGCAAAGGAGGCAAATCGTCCATGGTTAGGTCTCTTTGGAAACCTCGCAGAATCACGTACGTGATCCACTCGTATGAGCAGTAGTATGAAAACAGGGAGCACGTCTCTTCCGGTGATTCCTCTATAGCGGGTTTGTCGCTTTCTGCGTCAGGGATGAATGGGCATCTTGGACGAGGAGTAGCCAGTACCAGTACCACCACCACGGCTAGACAAGCTAGCAAGGCACTCTCTAAAGAGCCTGGGCGATACGTTGAGTTGAAGATTATCATAGGAAGTAAATCTTGAACAATTCCCAGAAGCAAAGCCACAGTAGTCACCAAGCTCATATGGCGATATACCTGAACCTTGCGCTTGTGGGATCTGCAACATGGTCGTACAATACCCAGCGCTACGACGTAGCTCAGTAAGGCGGGGCATTTCCAGTTCCCCGAATCACGGAACTCGATCCAGCTCAGGCAGCAAGCCCCCGTAGATGCAATGAAATGCATCAGGGCATAGGGAAGGGACACATAACTCTTAGTTTTTCCACGAGGGGAGTTAAACAATAGCGATAGAAGCAACACTGTCCCGGAAAGCAGGAGCGCAGCCAGGTGAACATTGCCTGTGCCAATGACAGCCGCAACTCTCTGGATTCGATAAGTCCACAGTGTCCTAGAGCTCGTATCAGTATCTTCGCATATCAGATATATATAGGGGTACTTACCTCTCGTCAACGCCACTGTCAAATGCTGTAAAACCACCTTTCCCGGGCGGGACAATAGCATGCTGGTATTCCATGGTGTTGGCCGGCAGCGACGCCACCACGGAAGGAGCCGGTTCTTATCTGGACTCGACAAGGCCTCTCAATTTCCACTAACTCAGCACTGCTGCGCTGGTATTGCGTGATCCGGACAGCCTAAGAGATATCATAGCTCCCAATTAATGCATACAATTCTTGCAGAGCTCCTTTGGAAAAGCTCCTAAGCGTGGGGTCAATTTTATGTTTTTTATCGGACCGAACCAAACTTGTCTAAGAGGGTTACCGGAGTTGTGCTGTTGCCTTTCTGCCTTATCGCATTTCTGCCTGAGGCTTCAGCGGGTTATCGCATACAACGAAGATGGATTTAATAAAGATTTGTTGATTGTTGGATAAGGAAAGAATAATGCTAATTTAATATATGGCGATTGAGCACGTGATAGACGTCGAACTTGGATTCTAGCATTTCCTGCTGGTTTACCTCGTTCTTAAGCTCGACTGCAAGGGGTATGTACTCAGAACACTTGTATGAGTTGAGGTCTCTCGTTGAAGAAAATCTTATAATCGCCAAAAGCTTTGTGTATGTGACAGGTGGCCTTACCACATTCCTCCATTGATCAATATCCCATCCGTTCAATGTATGGCGTGTCTTCAGCAAGAACAAAGCCAATACCGCGAGGGTGAATTTCTGAGCGGGGGACAATCCAGTTAGATTCATGAAAATAGTCATTTCAGGAACGGTATCAAAAGGTCGTCACTTAGAGAGAACGGGATGAAGTGGGCTGCCTCAGTTGCCCCGAGTTTTAGGTCCATGGTCTTCTGTCAGGCCAGTGAGAAGCCGCCTAAGCAGGATCTCTCTGATTCGAGTACGGAGTACAAACAAATCAAAACAAAGCGAGAAGGCAGACACACTTGAAATAATTAAGAGAGAAGCCTTCATAAGCCATAGGTTGCCGCCGGCTGCATATCTTCTGCACTCTTTCCCATGGATGGCTTCCCAGCGGGCTTGTTTCCAGCCTTCATCGACAGTCGTCTCGTTTCCTTGTACCGGCTGTGCATTTGATTTTTTTCGCTCACCTTCATGGGTGGCATGTCGGACTTCTTATCGAAGTTAGCTTTCTCTCCTCCATACATGCCAATCAACTCGTAACAGTTGACGCAGGGATCCCAAACGTTTCTCCAGACCTGGCCGTTCTTGCCTGTCATAGTGGCCCCGATTCACCGTCTGCTGCCGGATAGACAGCCCAAAGACGTTGTTAGTGGGAGTGAGGTGCGCTGCTGAATGATTGTACGCCTCAAGAAAAAGAGAGTCGATGTTTCTCACAACCTCCATTATGCCGAACGGTGCTGTAGAAAGCTTTGGTTTGGTTTATTGCCGCCCGGCGCATCCGAGCCTGATCTTTAGACTCAAATCGAGCAGCGAAGAGACAGGTGCTTGTAGTTCATTCATTGTATGTGAAGTCATCCAAAAGAACTCACATCATCATGAATCAAACCATGCCCATGCTTTTTCTTCCTGTCAGCCACATCCAGGTAGCAGTGCAAGCTTCAAGACGTGGGTATCACAATGAAGGGTCTCAAATGCTCCGTAGTTTTGTACTGCACATTTTAATAGGCCTATTGCGGCTCCATGCACCGGTCAGCGAGACCTTTTTAAAATGGCGATGCTGTAGGTATTGTTTCTTGGACTATGGTAAGAATGGCCCTGTTGAATAAGTACAAACCAAAGAGAATAAGAAAGAAAGAGAGACAGCCCAACTCAAATAATAAAATGGAAGCATGGATAAGTATCCGCGCAGTTACCTGGATTCTCTCGCCTTGGGAAAGTCTCTAACCCCCAGTTGGTCAGTCTGAATCGTTTCTTGTAAATCAACGACTACTGAGCTATCTGGGTTGCTGATAAAAGACTAAGGAATCCGACATTCCGTCGACGTTTTTTTCAGTAAGACCTTCTCTGCAGAAGGACCAAAATCCAGGCATGGACGCCATAGGGGGCTAAAAGAGCTCTTTGTAGAATTCGATACCACAGGCCCAAGAAATAAAAGAAATAGACCTAAAAGGTCATATATGTTCCAGAAAGGAATATCCTAGTGCAGTGCTTTCGTGATGAATCCCAAGTCACTGAACAGAGGCTGCCCCAAAAAGGGTTCAAGTCTCGTCATACACTCTCTGACGGCGACATCCCAATGGGATCCATGTTTGGAGTCGCGACTCCACGGGCAAACTAATGGGCTAGTAGCCGTAAAGAATAAGCCATGTCAAGGTTGTACTTCCTCTTGCCTCGGTGAAATCGTTTGATAAATCGAAACTTGTTGGCTTAAGCTCATGCAGTGAGAAGTCTGCGTGGTACGCATGAAGGAAATAGTATTGAGCTGAAATCCACCTAGAATCATGAATTTGTCTGGTAATTGAAAGCTCTTGCTTGTATATGGTATGCCATGAGCATCTGGATTCGCAAACGCGTTGTCGAGGAATTTAAGGGCCTGCATGAAATGACAGCAAACAGCGACCAAACCTAGGGCAACCAGTGAATACTCAAAGCAGTGAATATACTCCATAGTTTGTTTTGTTTTATTCAAAAAACATTTATATAAACCCAGTCTCTTATTCTTTTTCTTTCTTCTTTAACTCCCCCATCGTCCTCTTCACACTTTCTCATTTTTATCTCCTCAGACTCATGTCCAATCGACTGCGGCTGCATTTGCAGAGAGCTACCATGTTGGAGCTTCTCCCGGGGGAGATGCTGATCAGCATAATAGAAAAGGTACACCCCAATACAAAGGATCTGGAAAAATTACAATATTAACAGCAAAGCTCTCCAAACGTGACCTATTCCAACTCTCCCTGGCATCGAAATACCTCCATGATTCAGTGCAGCCAGAACTATATAGGGACTTCACTCTCATTACCATGCACGAAAGGCACCATGACCTCCACGAATCTCGCTTTATGCAATCTGCCTTGACAGACGACACCCCCAGCTTGCAGCCACGCGGTGTGTACAGCTGGATCAGACATTTGACCATCAAGGCCCCCTTGCACAACCATGCGAACATCGCTACGCTATGGGGAATGGAAATCAATGAGATGAGTCTGGAAAGGCGCCGCATGATTGAGTATATGGAGTTCTTGAACTTGTATCGAAACGTGCAGGGTGTGCTCACTCGTTTGCCGCATAATAGTCTGCAGAGCTTTAGGTAAGTCTATCTTCATCCAAGACCTAAGTTCTACCATGCTGACTCAATAGTTGGCACCTTGGCTGCTGTCTCCCCAAAGGAATCTTCAGCGCACATGGTTACCTCGCGCGCCGTCAGCGCCAACTCACTTCTCTATCCATCAGAGTGTACCCCGGCTACACATACACAGACGGCCTGGAAGGATTGACGTACCTTCGAAACCTCCGCCATCTCTCCTGGAAACAGGCAGACTTTATCGACAGCTATCTGCTCTACGATATCATCGAGGCGAACTGCCGCCACCTCCAATCGCTGGAAGTTGGATTTGAGGGTCGCTACGCGCTGGCCCCTCACACGTTGGAGTACTGTCTGCAGTCGACTGGTCTGTTCTCGACCGTGCCTGAGGATCTGTACGTCCAGTTTGACTCGCTGCATACTATAAGTCTTGGAAATGTGTCGTTCAAGCTTGCGTACTCAGTCCTCTACCCGACGTTCGACTTTAGCCAGATCCGCAAGTTAAAACTACAGAACTGTCGCTGCGTGCTCGAACTCCTCAGAGCTCTGAGATACACTTCTAGAAGCATCAATCTGAAAGCCCTCGAGTGCGACTACGAAGAAACCACTCCCCCGAACCAGGATGAGAGCATGTTCGATCCCGGAACTGTTGGTCTGGGTGTTCCCAAGTTCCTCGAATCCTTCCGCGGTCTTGAACAGTTGTATATTCGCGCGATGGACTTTCTCGTGCAGTCTTCTGAGCGTACCCCATGGGCTATACTCAAGCATTCGCATACTCTGAAACGTCTGGCGTGCCACTACTATGATAAGCTGGCGATGGGTCAGAATCGAGACTGCCCGTTCTTCTGGAGACACCGTCTCTACCAAGTCCTCGACAATCTCCGCCTCGAAGCTCTGGGTATAAACATCATTCCCTGCGACCTGGTAAGCCCCTCCCATCCACAACCACCCTTTATACCAGATACCTAACAACCCCAGCGCATCCGCATCGCCAAAACCCAAACAGCCCAAACGCTCAAACTCCTCCACTTCCGCGTGACAGGCCCCTACCACACCCCCCGCAACCTCCTCCACAAGCTCAAAATCGCCGGACTCCCCAAAGAATGCGTCCCCAGGTCCCTCCGCCGCCCCAAACGCCGCATGCCCTCGGAGCACGCCTTCGCAATCCACCTCGCGCTGCGGATGTCACTGGACCAGGCGGACCGACGGATGAAGAGACTACTCAACATGATGGAGTTGCTTAACTTCGTCAAATGGGCGTTTAGTCCGGACGGTCTGCCGAATTTGATGGTTCTCGCGTATGGCGATTTCAGCTGTAAGCAGCGACATGGTTGGTCGCAGGTTGTTTTCGTTCGGTACCCGCGTCCGAACATGCCTATCCCCAGCGCAAAAGAAGATCAAAACGGCGTCTTCGGTCCATCCTTGCCCTTCCGCATCATGCATCCCGAAGACGAATATCTGTGGGATGAGATCGATGGCGCGAAGGAGTTGCTCGAGGCGTGCCCGCAGCTATGTGCGGAGGATATTACGGCGAGACCGAATGAAAATGTGACGTATCCGGAGCCGCAGGAGAGTTATTTCTCGGATGATGAGTTGCCTGGTGCTGAGTGTGATGATGTGGATTATTTCGAGGAGTTTGCGGAGGATGTTTTTGATTAGTGGATGGACATGATTGAATTGGATATTGGATGCTTTGGGGTTTTGTTTTTCGCTTTTGTTAGAAATTCTGGATATGAAAGGAAAGAAAGGGAAATTTACCAAAAGGAGCGTTATCAGATTGGGCTTTCTTTTTGCAATGTTTTTGGCTTACTTACAACGGATAGACGGACTTCTGTTTGTCAACCAGAATAACAGATGTATCTAGCTTTAATGGGATTTTAATAGTATTTAGAAATGAAATATGACTACTACATCTACCATCCATCCATACATAAGCCTCCTACGACACATGCAAGTCCCTGGTCTCCTCGACAAAGCCTTTGTCATCTACTCAGACGAAAAGAGCCCCAATGAGACAAGGAATTCAAGGTCTAGTCTCTGACAAAAGGCATCTTAGACAAAAGGACAAAGGTCCATTATGCGCATTGAGCTCTTTGACTTCTCGCTGTACTGTATATATGGAGAAGATTCCCTGTCGTCATGATGTCTATCGTCATATTGGATTACTCTCGTATCTGGATAATACTGCTGCAAGAGTACATCTGCGCTCATATACCACGACAATTGATTCCAGTTCATTCTCCATAAGCAAACTGGAACTGTACGAGTCTCGAAACTCATGCCCGGCAAACCAAATCTATACAACCAGAAAAACATCAGCACCAGTACACCAATCCAAGCCAACACCATGGAAAAAGCAGTAACCCGCCGCATCAAACACCGCTACCCCCTAACAACAACCGACCTAACAGCCACCGAACTTCTCGCCCTAACACGCACCCTCCTCTTCGAAAACCCAACCGTATACCAAATCTCGCGCCCCACACCCAGCCAGACCCTCCCAAACGAGCGCCTCAAAGAAGAAATCAAGAACCTCCCCCTCGCGCTCCGAAGGAATAAACTCGTGCAGATGATGCCGAGGTATATCGGCCGGGTGGCTGAGCTGTGTGCTTCGCATAATGGGCTGAATGCGTATGTCGTTGGGCATTTGTTCGATTTGGTGGAGGTGGAGGTTACGCGGCGGTTGGAGAAGATGGATCGGGGTGTTGAGTGTCTGGGGATGTTTGAGCGGAAGCTTTTGCGGTCGATTCAATCTATTCGACGGGTTTGGGGAGAACGATCACCAGAGGATGACGGTGAGACGCCGATTGGTGCGCCAGGGGAGCATTATAATAAATGTGAGGCGTGTATGCTTGCGCGGATAGTGGGGGAGCCGTTGTTTTTGCGGAATCTGCGGATTGCGATTTTGAGTCGGACGAGGACGAGGAGGAAGAGTCGGGCGCCTAGGTTGTTGAGGTTTGTGGAGGGGTGTATTGGGTGTCATGGGGAGGCGTTTAGGGTACTGCATGAGAGTGGGCAGTTGGCGATTGATTTCAAGGAGGCGAGGAAGGCTGTCGCGAGGAGAAAACGGGGGCGTCGTTCGCATGAGCAGGTTGAAAGGAGACCGAAGGAATCGAGCACGGAGTCTATACTTGTTCATCTGGACCCGGAGTTGCAGAGGGATTGCTTTGAGCAAAGCGCTTCACGACTCGGGTCAGAAGAAGACAAGGTACCCGACACGAAGACAGAGACGGACGAGATCATCTCACTATACAAAACAATCCCAGACAAAGATCCGGATGAAACTCTGGTGTCAATCGACCCTTTTCTCAGTGATACAACTGCTGTATCACCTGTCAGTCCATTATCACCCAGAAAACACACTCCCAACATGAAGCAGACACTAGCAGGCACAATCCCCTCTCGAGACATGCTAGACTGGGAGCAGGTAGTGAATTATGAAAAGAGTCCTCTTGATTCCTTGGCCAGAAAAATAGAAGCCATAGAGCTCGAAGGACCGGATATGAGCGATGGCGCAGACGCAGATGCCCTGGCAATGGATTATCGTGACTTGATCGGGAAAGGGACATGTTATTCTGAATCTGAGTATAGCCAGGAAACATCTGAAGGTGAGGTTGTCAGAGAACCAGGTCGTCCGATTACGACATGGAGTCTTTTCGTGAGCGATGACGAAATAGCTCGTCGAGAGATGAAGGAGTAATTGAACTGGTCTTGGTCTGTTGGTCTTTATTAGTTTCATAGGTACAGCCAAAAAAAAAAAAAAAAAAAAAAAAGCATTGATTGACATGTATTATTATGCATTAATAGTCGTTAAAACCAATTTCGTTGCAATCAACGCACATCCAAAACAAGCAATTACACATTGTACAGGGCCAAAGAGCCCAAAGTATTAATACAGCGAGGCGAATAAAATATAGACAAGCAAAACAGTCGCCATCTCCCGGAGAAGTCCTGCAACCCCGAGGATGCTCAAATAGGCGGGGCAAAAGACAATGCAAAATGCAAGCCTTCTGATACAAACTCCCATTGTTATGCAACGATGGAAGAAAAAACTTAGGCCTGGAGGACACTGCTGGCCACACCATGGGTTACACCCTTGAGATCTTCAACGCTGGTGGACAAGGTCTTTCTGCGAAGGCGCGTTCGAGCATTCGAGTCAGTTGGCTCTTCCGAGACCACTGCACCTTCGCTGCGCTCCTTGATAGCGGTGGCTGCGGCGGCTGCGGCGGCTGCATCTTGTTCCACCTTTTTCTGGGCACTCTCCCGGGACCGTTCGTAGCGGTTTTTGACATCACCCTCCCACTTGGTACCCAACATTCGATCCCAGAAAATGAAGAATGGCTGAGAGAAGTTGTTCTTGATACCCCAGCTCTGGTGGTGGATGTCGTGGTAGGCAGCGTTGTTGGACGTGATCTTCTGAAGAGGGTCCCAAGGGAACTCGTAACCGCAATGGTCATCGACTGTTTTGATTGTGGACATCGTGAAGAACCACATGCTTTGACGGGTCGTCATCCGGGCGGTCAAAAATCCCACACCCGTACCGGCTGTGTCAAGGAGGAATCCTTCGACAGGATGGTTGTACAAAGCACCGAAGGCGTACGGGACATAAAGGCGATGGTGGCGCGAATGGAATTTGACTGGGGATAGTTAGAATGAGTCACTCATGACACGGATAGTTGCAGTGCTTACCATATAGCCAGCGGTTCAAGTGCATAGCACGATGCCAGAAGTACTGCCAAGTATCCACGACGCTAATAGCCCAAACGAATTGCAAAAACGGAACAAAGTACCAGAAGATAAAACTAGCCAAGGTCATCTCCCATTCGGTAAAAGCCGGAGCAATAGCTTCCACGCCAGACTCGAGGATGATTGACTGCGTCATTCCAGGGTATTTTCCACCCGACAAAGCTCCAGCAAGCATCGTATGGCCGCTCCGGGACAAATTCTTGGCCAGACCCAATGCGTCAATTCCAATCAGAGCCAAGAAACCAGGCAGCACTCTCTGGACAATGCGGATGCGTTGAGCCCAGACAGCAACATCGTATTCCTCCTTGCCAACGCACTCCTGCTCATCGAAATAGCTCACTGCGTAGCCTGCGATTGTTTGAACGACCTGTTGAAGGATGACATCTCGAACCACGTGCCAGCGCGTGACATGGTTTCGCTTGAGAACCTCTGCGGGCGTGTGTAGACGGTACTGCGGAAAGAGGTCGTAGACATCGATGAGATGATAGACCATTGATAGACCCCAATAGGCGATGATCGGCAAAATCAACGAGAGTATGTTATCGGAGATCGGAGTAAGGAGAGGTTCGCGAGTGGTCAAGGTATACGACGGAAGAGGCGGAAGGTCGAAAACGACCGAAGTATTGGACGCCATTTTGAACGACGAGCATGTGACGGTGCGAGAGTCGAATAAAAGAATCAGCGCATAGAAATCGGCGAGCGAAGAAGCGGATGATTTAGGATCTTCGAACGCGAGGCGACGGCACGTATAGGCGGGAGACGTAGACTCGGGTAGTAGTGATTGAAAGAAGTGTAATTTGGTATTCCGGCGACCAAGAGTGTATATTAGGAGAATGAGCGCAAAATATTAGGGAATGAGTGAGAAGTGAGGTATTTCAGGCGGACACGATCAGGGGAATAGCGGCAGTGACAGGTCTGAGCCGCAGCTTCCGAAGACCGGGAAAAAAGCCGTGGATTGTAATGCCAGCGCGAGTTTTTATGGATTAAGGAAAGGAATGATAAGGACAAAAGAGATGAAAAGAAGAATAGTTAAAAGTTGAAGATGAAGAACAGAAGAGTCAATTAGTCCGTAGTGTCAGGAACCATCCCAAAGCGGTGGCACCACAAGAAGTCGTCGAAGCCGATCGACTTATCTAATCGGTATCGTACGGTACGGTACAGGACGGGTATTGACTCCATAACGGGTGGGTTTCAGGAAAGTTACAGTGTAACACACCGTATGTTACCAATGGTCTCCTTTTCAAGGTGGCCTAAGTCTTTGGGTAAACAACATCAGATGTTGCATACACAAGGTGTCTTGATATTTGTAGAATCAGTAGTTATACAGAGTATACAGAGTATTCTACACCTTCTCCTCTAGTATAAAATACACTTGAAATGAACCTATTGATTGCTGACAGTCCCGATCTTCCCAAACCAGACTAGTGCGCCCCCGAAAAAATAAATCCCGCTATACCGCTTTAGGAGGCACCACTAAAACTTCAAATTCCCCTCTTCTGTATGGTTTTTCTTTTCTCTTTTTCTCCTTCTTTTTTTTTTTTTTCTCCAGCCCGCTTATTCTCTTCATCTCTTCTCTTCTGGTCTTCTTGTTGTCGTCGTCGCTTTAGGCACTTAATTCTCTATATACCGTCAAAATGCTTATCTACACGGTACGTTTTTGTCTGACCCCACGTTTCTCACGGAGGGGCAAGGGGAAAAAAAAAAAAAAAAAAAAAAAAGAGCCAAAAAAAAAAAAAAAAAAAAAAAGAGCCGTTTCTCCAAGATCTCAATGAATAAATCTAACACAAATTCAATGATAGGACCTCATCTCCGGAGACGAACTCCTCGCCGACACCTTCAAGATCCAGGATTCCGGTTCCGTCCTCTGGGAGTGCGACTGCAAGAAGTACCTCAAGAGCAAGAACGAGGACTTCCAGCTCGAGGGTGCCAACCCCTCTGCTGAGGATGCCAATGATGATGGTGGTGAGGGTGAGGCCGTCATGGTCCACGACATTGAGGACCAGTTCCAGCTCGTCTGGCTCAAGGCCGAGGAGGGCATGAAGCCTTCCAAGGATGCCTTCAAGCAGCACCTCAAGAGTGAGTTTACCTTGGCTACCTACGCGCGATAAGGAATTCTTTTACTAACAAGATTTAAGTCTACATGAAGAAGGTCCTCACCAAGCTCACCGAGAAGGGTGCCCCTAAGGAGAAGATCGATGAGTTCAAGGCCGGTGCCCCCGCTGCTGTTAAGAAGATCCTCGGCAACTACGACAACTACGATGTTCTTATGGGCAAGGCAATGGACGGTGACGCTATGTATGTTCATCCTGCACTTATCTTGAGCGAATGGTTTCACTAACATGCCCAGGCACGTCCTGATTGACTTCCGCGAGGACGGTGTCACCCCCTACGCCACTCTCTGGAAGCACGGTCTCGAGGAGGTCAAGGTCTAAGCTTGGTCAACCAGGTTCAACCTTGATGAGGGAAATGCGAAACGACCTAATAAAAGTGAGATGGGACAAGGGACCAAGATACGGATATATGGACATCGCTGTAGTCCTGTCTGAGTCTTCCTACCTCTCGCCCTCCTGGATATGTTTGTTTATTTAGCTATATCGCATCTTTTCGTATCCTGCCAGTCACGCCTCATGAATTGTTATGTCTTGCTCTCTGTGCCTAATAGAACTTTCTTCACAATGATATTAGTAAAATTGATTGAGGTTATATACATCAACGTATTCATACACCTATATACGTATCAATCAGAACCCACTCGCACCCGCACCCGCACTCCCCATATCCGCAAACTCAAACCCCACAACCGGATCCAACTCCATCAACTCATCCGCAACAGGCAAATGCTGTCCAAACACCGCGTCCCACTGGTCCCAGTCGAAATTGTTCAGGTTCGGATCGACCATTGACGGGGGTGTGGGGACTGCAGTAGGCATGGATATTGATTGTGCGCTTGGGGAGATGGGGAGGGTGTCTATGAAGGGGAAGCCGTTTGGTGGTGTTGTTGTTGTTGTGGTTGTTGTGGTTGTTACCCCGGTGGGGGTTTGAGGTTGAGGTTGTGGTTGTAATTGCGGTTGTTGCGGTGGTGTCAACGGGATGGTACTTAGTGGCGGGAGACTTTCGGGAGAGGACACGGTGGATCCGGCTAGAGTCGCATCGAGAGAACGAGTAGCCGGTGGTGGTGCACCCGCACCAGGAGAATGAGGAAACTGCGGAGTCGGCGTCGGAGGAATCATCTGCGGCGTAGTCGGGAGAGAACTCGGTATCGGAGGAGGAAGCTGATAACGCAGCGGACTAGGTCTAACATTCGATACAGGATTCGGAAGCATATGATTCCGCGTCATATTATAGAACGTCTTTGAGAAATCCGATAACTGCCGGTCCACCGGCACTCGTCTCGAATCAGCGAAACACGAGTACTCATCCGGACCAGGGACAACACCCGCCTGGATCTGCGCATGCTCTGTCCAGAGCCGTTGTGGGTTAAGACCGGCCTTCTGCCATGCTTTCTGGCGCAGACGCCGGATCATATCCCATGCTTCGCGGCCGCCGTCTTTCAAGGGTCGTTGTGTCGAGACGCCATCTTCACCACCGACGACGCCGCCGTCGGGTCCGGAGAGGGAGAATATTCTATCGATGAGGGCGCGGGATTTGAATGCTTCTTGGCTGTGGGGACGTTCGTAGAGGTCGATGAGCATGATCATGGTTGCGTGCATGGGTTGGTGGTTGCCGGGCCAGCTCCATTGGAAGGGTTGGAAGTCGGGGTCGCTCGCGAGGGAGATGAATTTTTCCATGAAGCCGTGGCAGTGGCGGAGGGCGCTGTTTTGTTAATATGACTTGGTTAGTGGATAGGGTGGTGGCGTGAGTGCATACCTTTGTCGTGCTGATGGCCAGATACGGCTTCTGGCGTTTTTGAGGAATGGTTGGTATGCGACGCAGAATGCCTTACTTGTCAACCCGTTTTCAGAACCACCCTCTGTGAGGACGACTAACCTTATCAATGAACAACGACAGCAATATCCTAGCCCATTTATGAAAAGCAACAAGAACAGGAGAATGGTACTGCTCCGGACACCGATTTGGCCCTTCACCCGGAAGCTCAGTATCAGTGGTTCTCACTTCAACCGGAGACTGTGTGGAGTAAGACGGTGAATCGACAGATACAGAAGTGGTCTCCAGACTCATAACGTCCGGAATTCTGTTGACGATCGAATTCAGCTGGAGCTGAAGGTCGAGGAGGATGGACCTGAGATCTTCCATGTCCCGTCTCATGACTGGTTTGGTTCCGAGCTGGATCTTCAAAATCCGGCGAACAGCCCCTATCTCAAAGTTAGCTTCAATAGATGATCTGATAAGGGTGAATACGTACGCGCCATAACGTATTTCCCCCTGGCAGACAAATAGTAGACATTCACCAAAGACGGTCCACCACAAACCGTCGGCTCATCAGGATTATCCCGTAACCGCAGATTGGCAGACACAAGCTGCTCATATTGTTCCGCCTCAGGCGTACCCAAAAGCGTGTCCTTAAGCTCACTGGGGTCTCGTACATCCCAGTAATTCTCATCACTAACCAGCGGAGGTAACCCACTAGACATCGCGACGACACCGTCCATGTGCACGATGTGCCACCATAATCGACGGCGATATTCGGCTTCACAGGGCTCGATTCCGAATTTGGCGGGGTCGCGGTGCAGGCCCATTGTTTGCGCTACACGCATGGCAAGACTGATGAATAGACTGCTGGTTAAGGGCTCTTCTTCTTTGGAGAGAATGGTTTGGACTAGAAGGTATGCTGCCAGGCCTTGTAGTGAGGTACTTCGTGGGAAGGATATTTTAGTTAGCCACCGTGTCACCTCCTCGTTGAATGTTTTCGAGAGCGCGGATCGAGAGTTGACGTTGAACTCGGCCTGGAGAGTTCGCATCGACACGGTGACTGAACCACCATACCAAATGGCATATAACAACGGGATAAACGGCGGATCCGGGCATGGCTCCCCCGAGTAACTGCTATAATCATACCAATCCCAGAAGGCATTGTATAAATTCAAAATCGTAGGCGGATGAATAACCGGACTGATAGCATGTACACCCGACATAAATCCCTTGTATAAGATATGACTCTGTCGTTTGGTTGGCATGCGCTCGAGCATTTCCGGCTCCACTAATTTCTCCTTCACATCCGGAGATTCTCCAGAAAGAAACAGTTTCTGGGGCGTATCTCCGCTGGATAATCGGTCACTTGGTCCGCTAGACCCGTCAGATGCCTTCCATGTATCTCCTGGAGTCTTGGCTGTTGAATCCGCCATTGGTTCGTCAGTCCAGCTGTCGTTGGCAGAAATTGGATGTGAGCGGTTCTGGTCTCTCAGCAACTGATTGAGATCGGTGATTTCCTGCGATATATAAGCCCAATAAGTAGTGCCGACGTATCTCGATTTCCCTCCATCCTCGAGACTCAGATGCCCCAGGTTCAAGCTACCCACAGGATCGACCAGATCTGTCGCATGTCCGGAGGGAATCGGAAATTCATCATTACTCGAATCAGTCACGCGACGCGGGCTAGCAGGGCGAGAAACCGTAGTCGGCTTCGTCTGTCCGCTACTTTGTCGAGTATGCCCCGGCGCAGTCTCAAAATTGACATCCTGCGCTAAGAGCTGTCTCTCCGTAGCATCGAGCGGCTGGTTGGATTTGCTAAGACGTTCGATCATCGACGTAAGTTTGGCCAGTCGCGCCTCAATCGCCTGCGATCCGGGCTTCTGTTCAGGCGACCCAGCCTGCCGTAAATCGCCATATATCGATTGTATCTCGTCGACGTCCTCCTCAAATGGCCACGATGTCTCCCTTCTCCGTTTGACTCCATGTCCACCACCCTTTGCTTGTCCCGCGCGCGATCCAGTCTCTCTCTGGGGCGCGGCATCGTATACGCATTCGCTTCCGTTCTTCGCGCAATTCCCGCATACTGGATGGACCTGATCCAGTCAGTATGCGACATAACCCAACCCAGACGAATCCATCACACACCTTATCACACTTCACCTTCCGCCGCCGACAACTGTGGCAGCTATAACTGGCGCGATTGCGCGTGATCTGCCGACCACCACCTACCGACGCTCCTCCTTTACTTTTGCCCGTAGTCGCTGTTGTGGAACCCTCCCGAAAAGAAGGTTTCTGCTCACGATTCCAAAGCCCGGAATCGGCGTAACTGTCTGTCGGGCTTTGGTCCATAGTGTTCTCGCTACCATGCAGTAACCTTGGTCACCGTGGCGGGGGACGGTTCACTCCATCGACAAGACCGTATCCGTACTCCGTTGGTGGTTTCGTTTCTGGGCTGCGCATGAGAGGTACTGAAGCGCTTGCGTGCCGTGATAATTCGGTTTAGGAATAATAGCGAAACGCGTGGCAAGAGAATTGCTGGGGTAGTATTCTGTAGTTCACCCCCCCGAGTTGCCGAGTTGGGGGACTGGATGACTGATCTTGGCTCCGCCCGGGGATCTTATCGTATCGGGGTTGGCCAATAAGTGTGAGGGTATAACATACTTCATGTTCGTTGACAGCAATGCATGGCATGACATTGTGGTGCATATTGTATTGCTTAAATTATGTATATGCACCTGGGCTAGTGGTTCAATACATAGTTTCTACTTATTGCCATGAGATACAGCTTCGATTTCTCATGTTAGACATAATCACACACTCCTCTGCTGTGGAACTCCTTCCAGTTGTCAAGGAAATTTTCCCTAGAACCAGGAAGGCTTCGTGCTTGCGAAAAATGCACTGGCACAGTTCTGCATCGATGTGGGCTACAGACTATGCCCACCGATGGTTTTCTTGGTGGAACAACATCTTTTGCTTCAGTGTTGCGTCCTCGGGCATGTCTTTCAAGAATATAGGCAATGACATGATGTATTTTTGGACAGCCTTTAGTTAGCATTTCCTGGGGGTTATTAGCATTACTGCGATCCCTACCTCTGCGTGGAACTCCAATCGCCAGTCTGACCACCTGGAAGTTGATGCTCGAGCTCTTTGCTCTAAAATAATCAATACCAACATCTGAGATCCCCTTCGGGCGATCAACGGTATCAAATCTCTCTGTCTGGCAGCCTTTTGTCACAAACTTCTAGAGCTTCAAGGGTGTCAACCGCAGGTTTTCATATCTATATACTGTTCGGCTTTGTAGCCGAGGCCACCCGTTTTGCGTGCATTACATTCATCGACCTATTCTGATGTTTTACTGTATCCATAAGTGCTTAGACATTCTTCTTTTGAAGGGCACTTACGGAGTAGCGGCATCGAACTTGTAACTGGCCCAACAGCATTGTTAGATGTTTTATGCAGTGTTAAGAAACTGTGATTAGGGCGGAATCCTGGTGGAACATCACATCGAGAGTCATCATTCGCTCGTAGGTGACCATCAGTAATCACGCCGAAGCGTAGGTGAGATGACTTGGTCGATATTACGTTCACGGCGCCCAGAACACAAGCATCGCGCACGATCGTAGTCTATTTTCTTGTTGATCGTGTGTGGGGGGCAGGTTTTTCGTTAGTAGGTCCGGTTTGAAACCCTTCGGCTGTCTATAGCCAGGTAAGCATATAAACACTGGGTGTTCTGGGGGCGACTGACACGTTCTTAGACTGGAAAGGGGAGCTACCAGAAACGGCGCGGCTATGTTGGGTGTATCAGGTATGGGACTCCACTTATTGCTCTCCAACATAGCCGTCTCTTTCGTGTGCGTCAACTACCCAACGATCCTGGAGATCAATCGAGGGGTAGATCATGGTGAGCTTTCATGAGCATAGGTCAGCGAATTTTGAAAATGACATAGACATTCCAGCTTACCGTTATGTCGGGATGAACCCTGAAACCAAAGAACTAAGTCCACGGTAAACAATGTAGAGCTCATCAGTGAAAGCAGTGAGCCCTCCCCTTAGAAGTCCATTGTATCCAGACTGTAATTACAATTCTGCCTTTGTACACATCGAGGTCTGCCATAGCCATTTATGTGCACCATATCCGCTGCTCTCTGTATAGCGGCTTGAAGTCTATATGAGAACTGCCGGCATGACCTGTCCGAGGTGCTCTTGGTTTCGTCTTTGTCCATATTTCTTATTCACCTGTACATACTCTGTGGGTATATAATTGAGACTGGGGGCTCAGTAATGAAGCTGTAAGCTGTGGAAGCACGGTTGCTTATGCAGTTTCGTGCTCATCCAGTCTCAGGCGTCTGAGTAAACCGGACACTTGATGGAGCTGATTCCTAGGTCTGGATGTCAGATTTCGTGTGAAAAGATCAGGAGCTGTTTAGCGGTGTGTCGAAACTCTTGCGTATTTTGTGTACAGTTGATTCCTGACTCCTGTTGTGTTTTGCCTTCATTATCAGCTCACCATTAAAGACCATAATAGCAGTGGCATGTATAAGATGGAGGTACGGGTAGTTTGCCTGATGGTCAGTAGTGTTGACACAGAAAGGGTTCTCAGCGAAGGATGGCGATGGCGAGAGGTCATCCACCGTTTGCTTGAGCAAGCTAGCTACAGTCACATCTTGATTGATGGTGCAATGGGGGTAAAGATAAAGCAACAGATCTTTTGTGGTGGCTCAACTATAAGCACCTCGGACCTGTCTCCAGGTCCCAATTCATTTTCATTCCATCGGTATTGAGAACAGCATGCCCTCTATCAGGAAACACAAACGCCTTTCGCCTGTACAATGCAATAAGACAAAAACAACCCATGGAAAGAACCCATCATCAACCCTCATGCCTTGCCCTTCTTCTTATCCTTCTTCTTCTTTTCACCGCCACCTGCGGACGACGGCTCGCCGCCCATCATTGCCGACATGTCCGGCATTCCTGGAATCTGCGGCATCCCAGGCATACCCTGCAAGTTCTGCATCTCCGCCATAGCGTCCTTGAGAGGGTTGTCGCTAACGCCGCCGCCACTGTATGCGGGAGAGTGTATGGGGAGGATCTTGCCGATTTTCCAACCTCTGGGGGCTTGGGGAGCAGCGGGGAGTTTCTCGGGAGTGGGGAGACCTCTGATTCTCAAGCGGTAGGGTGATTGCTCAGTGGTGGGGTTGGCTTTGAGGTATTGCGCGACGAGGATATAGAGGTGGTGTTCTGCCTTGTTAGCAACAAATTCATCAACAAAAGTGACGTAGAAGCATACTGTTCTTAATCTTGGGATTCGCCAACTTCCCACCCTCATTCTTCAACAACACCCGCACCCGTCCCGGATTCGCCCAATCCTTAGGATGTAACTTCTCCGGCTCAAACCCTACCTGCAACCCCAGCATCTGCGCAGCATCCACAATGTCCCTCGCCAACGGGTTTTCAACCGCCAACTCAGCTCCGACCTTACGGCCTTCTGCCCGCGACCGGGTCTTGTCGAAGTACACGGGGTACAAGCACTGGTAGTGTCTGGGGATTTCGCGCTGCGGCTCGGGGGCAGGTCTCATTGGGATCGAAGCTGAGCCTCCGGGTGGGGGGACACCAGCACCGGAGAGGATGGATTGGTCTGTGAGGGGGGGAGGTAGCTCATCGTCGGAGGAGGGTGCGACCTCTTCGGGGTCGGAGTCGTAGACTTCTTCGACTTGTGCTTGTCGCGACATGGTATTTTTTCCTAATACAAAAGACCCCTGTTATTCAGTAGTGAGAGGTGGGGTTGTGTTTTGATAATGTTGGTAGAAGTGGTGTAGTTGGCGGTAGTGTTGCCCGCGGAGGTTTTGCGGAGGACTTGGCTTGGCAGTTGTGGCCTTTCCTATTTGGGGTTTAGCGATGGCCATACTAAATACAGCTCATCAACCAGACTATTCTAAGAGATTATCGACGTTCTGCACTTTCAAGGATAAACTCTAAAATATCTTCTGGTATTGATTGGAATTGAAGTATTCTAAACTATCTTACTGCTCTGGCACAGAGATATATCTTGGACTATGTCTAGCGCAGTATACATCTACAAGAGCTAGCTAGTGACTCACTTCGGCAATCCATCAACACCGAGGCTATCAATCCCATATCAATGCTCAACAGCCAATCGGTCACTACTCTTGACAGCAACGCATGCTTCATATCGTCCATCGGCGACATGACGGCGCTATCAGCCAGTGCTAGACTCGGGAGTTCTGACATCGGGATGCCGAACATGCATCGGCATTCCTGACTCCGCTTTACCCCGCAAATATAGATCGAAGCACCGAGATAACGGGTGTTACTTGAGGACACGGCTGGTGTAGTTATAAGAGGGCTGCAGTGCTGTCCAATTCGATCATGACTTGGTCAGAATCCATAGACTAAGAAACTTGATTGTTACTCTGGTGATTGACTACTTATCTCGAACAAACTTGTGTCGTGTAACCATGACTCAAACTGGTGAGCTCGACTCCCTGGAAAGGCTTAGATCAGTCACTAACAGCTGAGCAGTGGTTACCAGCGCCGTCCTCCACCGAGACACCCGCTTCATCCCCAAGAAAGCCATCGGCGGAAAAGGGAGCTACATCTTCCTCGAAGACGGCCAGAAGGTTCTTGACTCTACCGGCGGTGCTGCAGTCTCTTGCCTGGGCCATGGCAATGAGAAAGTCCAAAAGGCCCTGCTAAAACAGATGAATGAGTTGTCATATTGCCACTCGGCCTTCTTCGGAACGCAGGCTTCGGAAGATCTGGCTAGGTTGCTCGTTGACTCGACCGGTGGAAAGCTATCAAAGCTTTATGTTGCTAGTTCTGGTTTGTACCCCCTCTCCTTTCTTATTGGTATATGAATTGACAACGAGAAGGCTCCGAAGCGGTAGAAGCAGCCCTAAAACTATCTCGCCAATACTACCTCGAACTACCCACGCCGCAACCCCAACGGACACGGTTCATTTCCCGTCGTCCATCCTACCACGGAATCACACTTGGTGCTCTAGGAGCAGGAGGCAACCTCCTCAGACGCGAGCCATTCGAGCCTCTCCTGGCGCAGAACATTTCCCACGTCTCTCCATGCTTCGCCTACCGCGGGAAGAAAGAAGATGAATCGGACGAACACTACGTCGCCCGTCTAGCAGCAGAGCTCGACGCAGAGTTCCAGCGCGTAGGGCCGGATACTGTATGTGCGTTTATTGCAGAACCAGTTGTTGGTGCGGTACGTACACTCTCTCGTATACAGGAAGGCAATTATGCTAACGGCTGTATGCAGTCCCTCGGCTGTGTTCCTGCACTCCCAGGCTATTTCCAAGCCATGAAGGCCGTCTGCGAGCGCTACGGTGCACTCCTCATCCTCGACGAAGTCATGAGCGGCATGGGCCGCTGCGGCACTCTACATGCATGGGAACAAGAAGGTGTCGTGCCTGATCTCCAAACCATCGCCAAGGGACTTGGTGGTGGCTACGCTCCCGTTGCGGGAGTATTGATTGGAGACCGTATCGTGCAGGCTTTGGACAAGGGGACTGGGGCCTTTCGCCATGTACAAACGTACCAGGGACATCCGATTGCGTGCGCGGCGGCGTTGGCTGTGCAGAGAGTTATTCAAGAGGAGAATTTGCTTGAGAACGTGAGGAAGATGGGTGCTTATTTGGAGAAGAACCTGAAGGAGAGACTCGGTGGGCATCCACATGTGGGAGATATCAGAGGGAAGGGGTTGTTTTGGGGTGTACGTTCTCAATTCACCCTAATGCTATGGCTACGACCACTGACATAAACAGATCGAGTTTGTCAAAGACAAAACTACAAAAGAGCCCTTCGATCCAGCAATGCGTATCGCAGCACAGCTCCTAGAAACAGGTCTGTCGCCGGGATATGGCATCTCGCTGTATGCTGGAGGAGGAACGGTGGATGGGGTCCGAGGAGATCATGTTCTTCTGGCGCCGCCTTTCAATGTTTCTACAGAAGAGGTTGACTTTATCGTTGATACTACGGTGAGGGTTGTTGAGGATGTTTTCAAGAGACTCAACTAGGACTAGGAAACTACTAGCTTTTAATCTGAGGCAATGAGAATGTTTAATCTAAACCCGACTAAATTGTTATAACTGGGTATCTATCCCCGGAAATGGTTATCATACAAAACAAAAGCAACCGAAAAAAATCAAGCCTTAGCCTCAACCTCCATGCCCCTAGTCTCTTCCATCTTAGTCTTAGACCCATTCGCCAACCCCGCCGAAGGAGGTCCCTCAGTCCACATACTCGCAACCGTCTCCACAGCCCGTTCAACAACAACCCTCACCCGATCCCTCATCACGGCATTCGCACACTCAACCTCCAAATCCTCCAACCACACCCTGGCAACATGCTTATCGGCCTTAATCTCGATTCCAGGGACGGGGATGCCTAGAGCCTGTAGACGGGCGATCTCGGCTGCTTCGAGGTCTGCGAGGCGGTCTGAGTCCTGGGTTTTTGTTTCTTTTTCTTCGTGGTCTTCTTGTTTGATTTCTGGGGTTTCGGTTTCGGACTCTTTCTTTAGGTATGTGTTTGTGACTTCGGTTGGGAGGCGGGGCGTTTCGATGGGGGAGATGTCGGAGCCGAATTGGGCTTCTAGCATCATTAGGAGGCGGGTGAAGCGTTCTTCGGGGCCGGGGTTGGAGTGGGGGTTGGGGAGGTCGATGTCTTCGTGGTGGTGGTGGTGGTGGTGGTGGTGTTTGTGTTTGGCGGATTCTGTGATTGTCAGTAGCTGATTTCCATTTATTAGAGGAGAGGTTGACGTACGTTTGACAGATGCAGGGCTGCTTTCTACTGTGAGCAGGACGGCCATGACTGCGTCGGCGACGCCGTCGTTCATCATGTTGCCCTCCCATTCTAATTCGACCTCACGAGTACGAGCGTTGTACCGAATGATCACACAGTCCATAACCAAGTATGTTTGTGTGTTCTCCATCGGGATTTCCTCGTCTGCAGCCTCTTCCTTGGGCTTCTGCTCTTCTCCATCCACCTCCTCCTTCTTGACGTCAGCTTTGGAAGTATCGCTGATCTCCTCGATAGCTCCGAATGTTCCCTCAAGAGCCCACTTGATCAAGTCCATGCTTGCGGAGCTCAGGGTGATATGCTGCTTGCAATTGATCGTCGTGGTTGTCAGACCTGCGTACTCGCGGAGATCGTCAGGTGCCATTAGTGACAGGTTGAATCCATTCTGCACGAGGACACCGGCCATGAGATGGCCATCGTCTTGCTCTGAAGGGGGTGCAACCTGTGCGAGTTTGCCGACGACCTTTGCGATCTTGTCCTTTTTGAAAGGAATGCGGACTTCTTCGCAGTTCGCTGGAGTGTAGACCTTTACTTTAACGGTTTTGTCGGCGTTCAGACTGAGGAGTTTAGATTTGAGACGCATCATCTGATGCTTTTCTCCGTGGACGAGGATCTGGAACGAGTTAGTTATCGTCTCCGAACAGATGTACAACTGTGCTCAGGCTACTTACCACAACAGGCGCAGCAACTTCCTCAATGAAGTTGCGATTCTCAACACCATCTACATGAGCCGCAAAACTGACTTCGTCCACGGTACACCTCCTCTGGATCATAACTTTCTGCTCTTCGTCACCACCACCACCACCACCACCACCAGTCACTCCCCTCCGTGCCGCGCTAGCCGCAGTCCTCGACATGACAGCCGGGATCTGCTCAGGTTCATTAAGCAGATTCTTGGCCATCGTCCCCTCAACGCTGTAACCGGTCATGACGACCCCATTCCGCTCGTTCGGGGCCCATCGTTCTAGTAATTCTCTGCTCGTTCCTGTTTGCAGCATACCAGGCGAAGCAAGCATCACGCAACCTCCCAGGTCGTCAAACCGTTCGAGACTCCGAAGACTTCTAACAAACTTGAAATCCCAAGGACCAGCGCTGATGCTTTTGTCGCCAGCGGCTTCTGCTTCCGCCATACGTTGACGGAAGAGGCGTTTGATGTTGTCGTTCATGGCACCGATATATGTTTGGTAGACCACCATACATCGCCGCGCCATGTTACCGATATAATAGATGGGGATCTTTTGGAGTTCGGGGTGTGTCTCCCAGTATTCGTCAAGAATCAGCAGTAGTTCTTGTGCGCGTCCCAGCGCGAAGACCGGCATGAGGACTCTGCCACCACGGTTCAATACCCCTGTGATCGACTTCATGAGGGCTGCTTCACGCTCCAGGCGGGGTGGATTCGAAGAAATGCCAAAGGTCGATTCAGTAATAAGGACATCAATCTTGATACCCTTGGGCACTTCAGCCGGGATAAGGTGGCGATCCTCTTCCCGCGAATAGTCTCCAGTGAACAGGATATTCAGACCAGCAATAGAAACCAAGAACATAGCAGCACCGAGAACGTGTCCAGCGGGGAAAGGAGTGATGCGGATGCTATTAATCGTATGCGTCGTATTAAAGTCTATTGTTTCAATCAATGGGAGAGTAGACAGATGGTCGTGCTCGGTGTATAGGGTCGTGCGCTGATCCGATGATGATGCCGTGTTGCTCACACGGACATTGTCCTGGATGAGCCATTTGTAGATGGCCTTGGTGGCGTGTGTCATGAAAACGCGGCCTTTGAAGTTGGTCTTGCTGAGGACATAGGGGAGGGCGGACGAGTGGTCAACGTGGAAACTATAAACCAACACAGGTTAGCCATCGTTACAATTGCGTCCTCTGGCTCATTATGCGCCTGCAATAATACAGATACAAAACAGGAAACAGGATGACGCGGAAACATTCTATTATTGCGTTTCTGATGTACATGCAGAGACATAGGGCCTGTATCACTGAGGTACAGTACTCCTCCACTAATGACCGGAGATCTTGTTGCCCTTGTCGCTTCTCGTGACAATCCAGTGTGATTGTGTGCCAAGGTCTTGGGTAGGGGAAGGGTATATTCCACGTACTGGCTAATCAGGAGAATATCAACTGTACTCAGGTCGAACTCGTCGAAGAACGGCAGCGAGGAAAAGCCTTCTTTCGCAGGATGCATTCCTGAATCAAGCTGTACCAACCAGTCAGTCTTCCTAAGCTCACTGAACCTTGAAGGTTCATTGCCACATACCATAACCGTCTTCCCTTTATACTGGATAATATGACATGACCGGCCGACTTCATTTCCTCCACCTAAACAGTAAAAGGCAAGCTCATCGGACGGGTCGACGGGCTCATCGTCGACTGCCGTGTTCAAGGCCGACGCCTTGCGCTTTGCGGCCATGACGCGACGCGATTGAAAAAAAAAAAACCGGTACGCTTTCAGCAAAGAAGCCCCAAGGAGCATTGAAGATCTCGAACGAAGATCTAACGAAACGATGGTGGAAACACAATGAAAGTCGGAGCTGCCTGGTTTTGTCCGAATCTCAATTTGCGCGGTGGACGGCAGCCATGACAAGACTCTTCAGGGAATCAGGCTCGAGGAGACAAGTATCGATAAAAAGCGGCGAGCCACCGCGTAAATATATAAAGAAAACAAGCAGCACAAGAAATGATTGCTCCTCTGACCTCGTCGACGTTGAGCTTCAAGACTCTTGGAGACGGCCGGATCGACAAGGCGCTGACATAAACACACGTGACCGGCTTGCCGCGGCGTTTCTCCAAGCAAAAACCTCGTTGAAACCGCCAGAGCTCCCCTTCCCGCCGCGAACAAGACGGACGAACTCACAACTCATTCACTGCGCATCGGTTATTGTGCTGGCCGGCAACTCCCCAGCAACTCCATATTGCTATACTATTGCAGAACCGATGTCTTGAGATGGTTACAGTTGGTGGCGGCGGCGGTTCGAGCAGTCCGCTCACATCTACGACCAACGCGCGGACGACAATCGATTTTGGTGGCCGCGACAGAGTCTGAAAAAGTGACAGATCGCGCAAATTTTCCCTCGAGATTCAAACAATACATTCACCAAGATGGCGCAAACACAACCCCAGCAGCATTACCCCCAACCTTTCTCGCCTCCTGGTCCCTCCCCGTCTCCCAACCCGGCGTCTCCAGTGAATGGTGGCCTTCCACCTCAGAAGCGACAGCCGTTTTCTCCTCTCCCTCCGACACAGACACAATCACCATATGCCTCTCCAAGCTTTGGGACTCTTCAGTTACCGCAGAATCAATCGCCAATGATGAACGGGACAAATATGAACGGCACGGCACCAACGCCAGCGCCGCCCCCGCCGTCGGGCACAATGGGACCTCCATCTCGACCGGCAGAGAAAGCGACGGATGCTGCTGAACTGACGGATGTTCTGGCATCCTCTGGTATTGATGTTAGGGAAGAAGAGGCTTTTCTTACGAGTAGCTATTCTGGGCCTCCTCCACGGGCTCAACAGGTGCTGCCCCCCCAGCAACAACAACAGCACCAGCAATTACAACAGGCCCCTACTTCTTTTACATCACAAACCTCTACGGCTGGGACACCCACTCCGACAGCAAGCTTCAGTGAGCCTTCGCAGATTAAAACACAGGATTCCTACTACACCGAACCAACACCCGCTCCTTACAGAACCCAAACCGAACCGATTCGCGAGGATTCCGAAGCGGCCAGACGCGCGCAGTACCATCTGCAAGAGCCTTTCTTGTTAACAAAACTTCTTGAGCAAAAGTTGCAGAGACGCGGCTTTGAACTTGGCGTTCGTATACCCGCAGAAGGGTTATTCCATCCGGTACCGGGCCGCCCACAGCCGATCGAAGTCACAGGGCCAGATGGTTCATCCATTGTGCGGACAGGAAAGACGATTTTGAACCAGGAAGGCGCGCCTTTGGTGGATATACTGAATCTCATGTCGATATGCTGTGAAGAACGGCTGAGAAACGTGGTCGACTATTCGTCATCACTTGCCAGAACCCGGCGCGCACACTCACACGGGGTGGTGCCAGTTGAGTGGCAAGACTTGACCCGTTCCGCCGAACAGGCGAACGGGACCGGAAGCCCCAAGTCGTCTTCACTCAAACGTATGCCGATCCAAACAGAGAGAGTTCATTGACTGTTGCTGACCCATATCTTTAGGGCCACATTCTGCGACCGACCAATCGTCGACCCGACCGCTCCCTGAGAAGTACCGTATGCTCATGGAGAAGGACGTGTCGAACGAAGAAATTCGTGCTAAAAAGCGTGCCAAACGCAGCGAAAATGCCATCTTGGGGGAAAGTACCGGAAACCGAGCAGAATCGGCAGAGCCCACCGGGTCTGCTCCTTCTACGCCCATTGGGGAGAAAGCCCCTGGGTTCGATAAGAAGGGGGTTTCCAAGAAGGAAGCCAGAAAAATGGTTGATGCCAAGGCCAGCGAGGCCCAGCAACACCAGCAGTCCGTGGAGACGGCGCGTATGGCCACGAACAGCATGCTGTCCGGCCGGGTGTTTGGTACCAAGAAGTCGTACTCTTGGTTAAACCGGGGTGGCTCGAATGCCAGTGGCTTTAGCACGCCGTCGCGTCTCAATGCAGCCTCCCCCAGTACAGGCGGCGAGAAGAACGGCCGCAACGGCGAGCCGGCCGTCATTCCACCCAAACAACTTGGGGCATGGCGGGAGGATCAAGAAAAGGGCGCTGGTATCCAACTTCGGGATGTTCTTTTTATGCTGGAACTCGATGGACGAGGCGCGAAGCATGTACAAAAGGCGTACTCCAAGGATCTGAAAGAAGATCGAATGGAATGATGCTTTCCCTTCGGTTCTCAAGTTTTTTTCCTGTAACCTCCACCTGTCTAACATTCTTAACTCCCCACGGCTACTAGGCAGGCCGTGGTCGTTGGCGTTACGGTTGCTTTCTTTTCACTTTGTGTTTATTCTTGACTATGGGGTTTTGGTGCTAGTGTGCAGAGTGTCTTGATTTCATGGATGCATGTTTTGCTGGGGATTAGAAGTGCGACCACGGCATTGTCATTCTTGTTCTTTACTTAGTTGAATACCTAACGAATCTAATTGTAGAACTGTATCTTTGAGAGATCGATTTCATATAAATAGTGTAGTTACCGTAATATAGCACGGACGGGGGAGGATTTTTGTATCGGGTTAGATCTCGGGGATTACATCACGAGATCCCTTGCACGCCAGGAACGCAACACGCATGCACACCTCGTTCTCGGAATAAGTACTCTGACATGCAAGTATACAGAGTGTCGAATGCACATTCTCTCTATACAGTTGGTATACCACGAGATCTGTATAATTGTGCAGGAGTGTACAGAGTACAGAGTACCGAACAGGAAAAAGGCTCCGGAGTTCACCCGACCAGGCTTAGTCTTGATGCGGTTAGAGTGGCACGCATGACATGCTGCAGTACGGAGAGCGAGAAGTTCTCAAGTGCCGTTGTCGCGTCGCCACGGCTGATGCAAGGATGGGAAAGAGAATGAGACATTCACTCAGTTGCCAGTATGCTCAGTATGCCACTACAGAGTATATATACTCAGTATATGTACGAGTCGAAGATACATCCCCGAGTGATATAAGAAAGGGTATATGGAGGGTACACTGCGGCAATAGTCCCCGTAGCCAGAAACAAAGCCTAAAAAGGGTCAATTGCAGTGCCATTTGGCTGCAATAATGTAGATCGGGTCCTGGACGGACAATTGGTGTTTGAATAAGCCTACTCTGTACTGAACAGCCACTGCGCCAGTGCGCATAATCCATAATCAATTCTCAGCCTCATCATTTCACATTGCCTCTTTTTTCCTTTTACTCTACTTGTACTCTACTCTTATTCCCTATAGCTGTGAGAACGAAGAGATGTCCTAACACGGTAACCGACCGCCTCTCGCGCTCTCGTTCGTCATCCCCACGCATCGCGAAAAAAGAGAGGCCCCGGAACAGATACTCCCACACACACACAGAGTTAGAGAGAGTCTCTACGGAGTACTTTCTCCTTTTATCTTCTTTTCTTTTCTTTACTACGGAGAGTACACTTGTTTTGTTTTTCTTTACAAAAGAAAAAAAAAGTACTATTATCTCTGACTCGCCTCCGGCTGGTTTCTTTTCTGGAATCTCTCGAGTCTCTCTAGCCGACTCTAAGGACGGTTCAGCGAACCGACGACAATCGCCTCCTCTCACTCTCTTTCTCTCCTCTTTCTTCTCTCCGGCAATCTCTTCTTTCTCCTTTTTATCAGCACCACTGTGCACTTCTCTACCCATTTATTTACTCCAAATCCGCCGTTCGTCACGAACTGGCTGGATCCTTCGTGGTGCATTATGTCGACCCCTTCGACGGCCACCGCGACACACCCTGCTTCGCATCATCCGCAGCATTACGCCTATCCTCCTCATCCGCAGACCTACCAGCCAAATCCTCCCTATCCGCCCACCACCGCTGCTGCCGCTGCTCGTCTAGCCACCTCCTCGTATCCTTACGCCATCAATCCGCCTCCGACGACGACCACGACCGCATCCACCACCACAACAACTCTCCCGTATACTCAATCCCCCAAACTCGCGGCGCCCCCGACTGCTCCTGCGCCTTTGTCCTCCACCCCGGCCACAATGGCTTCCGTCCAGAACGGATACAGCGCGGCGGCCACTCCGACCCAGAATGGTAGGAAGAAGAACCCGGATTGGGGTGAATTTTACAAGAACGGGATCCCCAAGGAGGTCATCGTCATCGATGACACGCCTCCACCGGAGCAGTCCAAGGTGCCCTCCCACACCCTCACCACCGCGTCTTCTGCCGTTCCTACTCCGAATGGTTCTATGATAAACCCGCCTGGGAAGAGGAGACGGACGGGGTTGGATACGGCATACGAGGTGGGCTACTACGACCGTCCGTCGTATTCTATCCATCCTCCTCAGCAATTCGGAGAGGAATCGTCCGGAGCGTCTCTGTCAACCGACCGAACGACCTCGCTTCACACGACCGCTCCGACGTCGCTGGGATCGCAGGGGAGCACCGGGACGAATAACGGTATATACTACGAGGAGGCAGACATCGGTCAGAAACGGAAACGCGTTACAACACGCAAATCCACTCGCGACGAGCAGAAGCGACGGGAGTTGGAGGCCGTGGGAGATGCTTTTCTGAGTTATGTCCCTCCTCCAAACCCGCCTATCAAGGCCAAGGATGTCGCTGTGCCGGTTGTCCGCGACGTAAGCTTCTTTTCCCCCCTGGACGATTTTGATTGCCGTACTGATTTGTTTGTATAGTATGCACGGACGAACGAAAAATATGATGATGACGATGGCCACTATGTGGTCACCCCGGAAACACCGATCACGGATCGATGTAGGTTGCCTTCAATTTCCGTGAAATACCGATGCTGACTTTTCAGACTCGATTATCAAACTACTCGGACAGGGTACGTTTGGGAAAGTCGTGGAAGCATATGACAAGCAGCGCCGGTCTCGCTGTGCGATCAAGATCATTCGCTCGATCCAGAAGTACCGTGACGCTTCTAGGATCGAACTTCGAGTCTTGTCGACACTCTCCTCCAACGACAAGGCAAATCGGAATAAATGCATTCACCTACGCGATTGCTTCGACTATCGCAACCACATTTGCATTGTAACCGATCTTTTGGGTCAGAGTGTTTTTGATTTTCTCAAGGGCAACGGTTTCGTGCCTTTTCCCAGCACGCAGATTCAAAATTTCGCACGACAACTGTTCACGAGTGTAGCCTGTGAGATATCCTCTCTCCCCGTTTTGCGGTGGATGCTAACTCTCTAGTCCTCCATGACCTTAACCTCATCCACACCGACCTTAAACCCGAGAACATCCTGCTCGTGAACAACGCGTATCAAACGTTCACCTACAACCGAACAATCCCATCCTCCTCGCATGCAACATCGCGAACAGCACGTCAACGACGCGTCCTCTTGGATAGTGAGATTCGACTGATTGATTTTGGATCTGCCACCTTCGATGACGAGTATCACTCGTCGGTTGTCTCCACTAGACATTACCGGGCACCGGAGATCATTCTCAATTTGGGCTGGAGTTTCCCCTGTGATATCTGGAGTATTGGCTGCATTCTCGTTGAGTTCTTCACGGGGGATGCACTTTTCCAGACACACGACAACCTGGAACACCTGGCCATGATGGAATGCGTCATTGGCCATAAGATTGAGTCTCGCATTGTCAAGCAGGTTATGCAGGGTGGACGCCATGGAAGCGCAAACCAAGCTGCCAAGTATGTCATTCTGAATACTCTTTTTGTTCACGTTGCTAACCAAACAGATACTTCAACCGAGGAAAACTCGACTATCCAAACAATGACACGACCCGAGCCTCGCGGAAGTACGTGAGGGCCATGAAGCAACTTGCAGTATGTCCTCTCCATTCTGTTCTGGAACCCTGCTAATGAGTGTAGGAATTCATCCCGACCAACACCGAATTTCACCGGTTGTTCCTGGATTTGTTACAGCGTATCTTTGTTTACGACCCCAAGAACCGCATCACGGCCAAGCAGGCCTTGCAACATCCGTGGTTCAAAGAGACCTTTATCGATGACGGCACTGAAGCTCTTCGTATTGGTCAACAACTGCAGCGTCGCCGTGGGTAGTCGTGGCTTTCTTCAATTTGCATTGTGACCCATGGGTCATACTCTTCTCATATACCACGACATAGATACGGGTTGGGGCAACAGAGCCAACCTGTTGGCCTTTGTATTGATACAACCACAACTACGTTGGGTGGTTCTGTTTTCTTATTTATGTTTTTATTTCTTGGATAATATTCTCACGGCATGGCATGGATATCATATACCGCCACTCACGACGTCTACGGGAATCGCTTTGCAAGGAGGAATGAGAAACGTCTGGAAAGGAGTTCATGCGCAACGGACGTTCAGCACCATTCGACGAGACCCGCTTGCGAGACAAGATGAAAACAGTGGAGGACACATCAGAATCACGGGTTCATTTTATCTATCACGGCGGATAATTGCTTATGTTCTTATATTCTTTTTCGTTTCTCAGGTTGGCCACGGATTATGGGGGATACTTATTTGCGTCTTATACCTTTATTTTTTATTTTTGCTATTTTTTACTTTCTGATCATTCTATTTATTCCACCGTCGATGTTCGTCATGTCATCTCTGCTCGGCTTGTTCGGCTTGTTATCTACTTTTATGTTTTTATTGGCGCTGGTGATATGACAGGTTTATACAGGTTCCATACCTTGCATAGGTTTATGTATTTTGTGCCACTTCTGACCATTGGTAATGCGTGAGGGTACTCGGTTCGTCTCGTTTATATCCAGCTGACCAGGCTGACGAGGGAGTTGTGGGGTAAGCTAGTTTGGGTTATATACCATGTGTTTTTTCTTACAGATTATGCTGTATTATAGAGATTATTGCATCGCTTTTGTATATATATATATATTGTACTTTATATGTTATGTTGGTGGTTAATGGATTGCATGGACTTGTCCGAGGTTGATTGTTCGCTGTGACAGAGATCCGACACGTCTTCGTCAAACCTCAACAACTGTCCCCGTCAATCCCCTAGACACCATTCCCATTCTTTCAGGTTGCGCGGTGGTATACATACCCTACTCTTCTGGTGGATTTGATGAGGCGACTTACTGCGAGGTATATAGTTACTGGATATAGATCATTCAGCAGAGGACAACTTGTGCTTTTATCATGTCGAGGAGAGTGGTATTTTGCGTTGGTTAATCGTACGTGATAGACATAAAGCCCCAGGAGCCCTCTTGTTGCAAGTCATCTGTGATATAGGAACCGACTTGATGCTTGAGCAGTGTACAACAGCAAGCCTAGAGATCCAAAGACATGCTCCTGACAGACAATCTCCGTCTGCCCGATAACTATGCTGTGGATGACTGCAACAAGGTAGTCATGACCTTTAGGTAGCGTTCTGCCTGATGCACGAGAATTATGGAGCATTGTATCAAGCCCAGCAGAAAACAACCTTCCTATGTCTCCACCAATGTAGCCATGTATTTTGAAACATGAATACCATCTGTAGCTTCTTTGTCCTTAGCCTTAAACTCTGCGTGCAGCGAGCTGGCCCGTCAGCGCATGTTTTTGAACTTAGCTAGGTTGTTAGCTTACATTCGATCCATATCTCCGGTGAGGTATTGGAAGTAAAGATCTCTTTACTACGCGTGTTTAAGAAGCACGCCCAGCGGGTCTATGACAGGGGGGGACGCTCTTCGAAAGATTTTCATCGTCTAACGCGGCTAGGCCGTGTATCTCTATCCCATAGATTGTGTACTGGAAAAATGGAGAATATGTCAGCCCAGCCGACCAATGTGCCGGAGTTGTGTGGCTCAGTGTATCCCGGACTCCCAGACGTGGTATTCGCGTTGCCAACATGATCCCGTCCATTCTTCGACTGGACGAGAAGGTGTCTTGCGGCGGAACCCCATGGTTACCGAGATCCCATGCCATTTGTAGGTCATGCGGCGAGTCCATTGAAAGGCGTAATGCTCCTTCGAGTACTTTTCCAACAATGTTGCCTGAATATCAACTTCGTTTTCAATTAGTGCGAGGATGGGGCCGAAACGATCCTTGGAGTAACGGGGCAAAGCTACAGCTATTTTCGAGGGAAAGAAGCTATGATTGATGGTTTGGAGCACAGCGCAACTGCTTTTGAGGCTTCAAAAAGCTTTAGATGTCGCAAAGAATGGTAACATTGTGCCAGGAAGTGGTGCATACACACCTATAGACCAATATGTTCGTCTTCGCTTAGTATATATATGTCATAGTTATCGATGCTATTTGATTCATAAGAATGGCAAAGGGAAAGAGGAGAAGGAAAAGGTATAAAAAA